ATTTTTGCAGGTTTCGTCCTCCATAGTATTTCCCCCTTCTGACTGAATATGAACATTTTTGCAGGTTTCGTCCTCCATAGTAGCTCCCCCTTCTGACTGAATATGAAAATTTTTGCAGGTTTCGTCCTCCATAGTAGCTCCCCCTTCTGACTGAATATGAAAATTTTTGCAGGTTTCGTCCTCCATAGTAGCTCCCCCTTCTGACTGAATATGAAAATTGCTCTATCACTATTTAGTCCATTAGGAGCTGACCTGTGGAAACTTTAAACTTTTGTATATTAATTGACAGTCATGTTTGCATGTGTCTCTTTTTGTTTATTTATTTATTTGCAACATTACCCTTCTTCTTCGATGAAAACAGGTGTGCTGCTTATTGAAATCTGATATGTGTAGAGTTTTTCATCGATTTTTCGATGGGCAGAAAATTTTAAATAGAAGTATGAAATAGAAAAGAGATTATTTGAAATTACTTAAAATAGAAACGTTTATTAATTTTTTTTAATTCTACATTTTTATTGCACATTTTTCACATTTGCAGTGTAAGACAGGGATCATATCCAGGAGTGCACATACGTTTTTCAGCCTGGTTCTCATATGAGAACCTGGAGATTTGGTTTGGTCCTCACACGGCACATGGTGTGACCCATCAAATATAACTATAAAAAATTATTTAATAATAGTGATAATATTATTGCACTTTAATTAGTTTTTTTTTTAAATGAACTAAACTAAATAATAAAGTGTGATAATACTATTTTATTCTAAAATAAAAAGGGAGTATTAAATACAAATACAATTATTTTATAGTAAACTTAAAAAATAAAATGCTATTTTTTTATTATTATTATTTTGATTTGAACCTTAATTATTATTTTTAATTTGAATTATTTTATTATTTTTATTTTCAAACTTAAAATCAGCAAGCTTTTATTTTGGCGGGTTAAAATAAGCATATGCGAAAAAGATGAAGTGCATTTAAAAGTCTTTTCGTGACAGCATGAGATTCGCAATAACAGCCTGTCTAGATGATAATTTTAAACTGTAAAATAATAAAAGTTTAAAAAGTAAACTCTAAAATAAAAATAAAAGTCATATATCAATCGACCACAAAACATTATCATTATTATTATTATTTAGTGCTGTTTCATTCAGTGAAACAGTTTCTGGTCATATTCAGTTTACTCTGTAGATCTGATCTTGTACATCAATCATAGAACATGCAGTATGCAGCAACATGTTTCACACACAATTTGTCTTTTTATTATATTTAGTACATACAAATGTATATTTAGGCACATGGTTTATGTGTTGCATTTAAAACAGCTGTTAGGAAGCAAAATCTGCATCAGTGTTTGTCCACTTGACTAGAGGACAGAAATGATCCAACATTAAGATCAGCGATATATCAATATCTAACATGCACATTATTCATCAAGCAGATGCTGTCAAATTTAATAAAACAACACAAAGCACAACGCATGTGGTATCATATCACTGCTAGAACTGAACAAAGCTGTTTTTCGTGTTTTTGCTACAAGTGCAACGAGGCTAATTTAAGTGCTTCAGCTTGAATACAGAGCTTTCGAGACAGACTGTAATCAATATTGAACATCAACATTAATCTGGTACTGGTGTTAATTTTATAAAAAAATGTGAATACAATGGTTAGAGAAACACTGCTGTGGCAAAACGTCTTATTAAAAGCACATATGACACTTTCTGACACTCACACAAAATCAAAACTAGTATTATGTTAATAAAGTAACATGTATGAAGTGTAACATTATTAAAATGACAAAGAAGCTTTTTACATGTGAGTTTAACATTTCTCACTTTCACTGGACGGATTCTAGAGGCTCATAAAAACAGAATTTTTTTTTTTGTCCTTTGATTAAATATTTTTTAAATAAAAAAACAGATGAAAATGATCAAAGAAAAGAAGATACAAGTAAGAATAACTGTATACATGCGATTAGGAAAATTTAAACAATAAAAGGGTAGGTAGCTTACAATAAGGGGAAAAATTATAACAAAAAAAAGAGCAACGCAAGAGAGCTGTCTGAACTTAAGAGTCAGCTTGAGTCAATAGAAATGAATTTTTCATATAGTTTCAAAAACCTGACACATTTTGTATTGCCAGTTAAACAAAAGATGAGCAGTGTGTCAACCTCAATCAGAAAATGTGAAAGAGTAGGAATTGAGCCTATAATTTTTGTTTATGGATTGAAAAAATTGCCAAACAAAATAAAAAAGATGAAAATATATTTTTTTGTTTTGGTAGAGTCAGAGTAATAACAAATAGCATCTTTCAAATTAAAAATGTTTTGTTGTAGCTGGAGCTGAATGTTGATGATGTCAGAGTGATTGACACTGGTGGTCTTATGTTATTAAAGTGAACTCGTCCCCTCCTGTTCATTCACTACATTCACATACACTTCATTCAACAGTGGCTTCATTGAATCAGCGACTGTATTCACATTCACTCGCTTTCCTGTGCAATCTGAAGGAAAATACAAAGACAATGATGAATTAGAAACAAATAATGTACTGATCTGAATTTTTTCATATGAGACATCAAAACTAAAGTGAAGCATTTACAATGTACAAAATCATTTAACAGATTGTCAGCAGCACATCTGGCTCATTTGAGGAGTTCAATCTAGTTTAAGCACTTTTCTGACAAATAAACATTTATTATATTTGTTAACTCAGTCATGCATCTACTAGAATATGCAAACTGAAATGTAAAGTTTACTTGGATCTTTTAGGCTTCTACATCTCGGATGTTTGTAGCATTAAAAGATTCACTAGAAGGCCATTTCTCTCAGGACAATCGCTCTTTAATTTACTTAAAATCATTTGTTTGAAATTTGAATGAATAAACTGCATGAAGCCAAATCACACACATAAGCTCATGATATTGTTGTAAAGTTAAAGATATTCAGCGCAAACAACCGAATCTCACCATTCTTTTCCTTCATCAAAAATAGGGCACTATTTGAGGGGACAGCCATTTTAAGTGGTGTCCGAAACCATAGTGGGCGTTCTTAAGTGCACTCATTCAATCCCACAATGCACCACAAAAATGAGTGTGCAACCGATGTACACTCAACGGCTAGAGATAACCCATAATGCACAGTGAGAGTCACGCGTCTGTCTCACCAGAAGATGGTGCCCACAGCTGAATCATCCATCTATTAATTTGACAAACGCACTCGCCCACGACGTAATACAACGTAATACAACACAGGTACAAAGTCATTGTAAATTGACTATTAAATTGTTTAACTAGGGTTTATACATAATTTCCGTGACAAGAGTTCAAGATAATTCCTTTAATCTTACTACTGGACCTGCCCGTTTCAAATGATTATTAGGCCTACAGCAAGCAAACTATGCAAAAGCGGCAGTCCTTCCGGTGCACTCAGTGTCCAAATTCACTCACTCGTTTTCATTCACTCCTTCAAGTGAACTGAATGAGTGGACTAATGTAGGGAATAGTGAATGAGGGTATAGGAGGCGATTTCGGATACAGCCTGAGAAGCAGTGATATAAACTATATAAGCACTCACATAAATACAAAATAGAAAACTGCCTAGAAAACTCAAATTGAAGTTGCTACATCATGAAGTTTGTATATTCAACATACAATAATGGCTCCTTTATTTCTTTACATTTTAAAGATATATGCATTGGGAAGTCGTGGCCTAATGGTTAGAGAGTCGGACTCATAACCCAAAGGTTGCAGGTTCGAGTCTCGTACATCTCGTACCGGCAGGGATTGTAGGTGGGGGGAGTGAATGTACAGCACTCTCTCCCACCTTCAATACCACGACTGAGGTGCCCTTGAGCAAGGCACCGAACCCCCAACTGCTCCCCGGGCGCCGCAGCAAAAATGGCTGCCCTCTGCTCCGGGTGTGTGTTCACGGTGTGTGTGTGTGTTCACTGCTGTGTGTGTGCACTTTGGATGGGTAAATGCAGAGCACTAATTCCGAGTATGGGGTCACCATACTTGGCCACACGTCACGTCACTTCATTGGTCAATCGAGGAAGTCTGATGGTTGACAGCTTCTAACACCAATAAAACCACGAGAGAAGAGAATTCCAAGAACAAGAGCACAGAGATTCACGAGTGCACAGGACAATGTTTGAGCACACACAATATCTCCACATTAAAATAATGGCATGAATAAACTATAAAGAAGAGATGTCTGAAAGCTGCAAGCAGTGCCTCATGCCGCCCCTCAGTGCATTGCGGGCCCTATAGGCAGCTGCCTATACATCATGAGCCATTCAGATGCCATTTTATCAGTTTTGAAATGAAGACATTCTATTTTATTAAATAGAAACTTTATATTACTGTCACTGCTTCAGATTTGATAACTCAAAGACAAATTTATAAATCCAAGTGAACTTCATACAGAGTGCTGAAACATAAGCTTAAGGAAATACTTGTTGGGGCAGCAATAGAACAGAGTTTATTTCACAGTGTAGTTCAATGGGAGATTTTAAAACTGTAAATAATTAAATAATCTGCAGAACAAACTCTGAATGGGGTCTGAACATTAAGCAGTTTGAGCTGAATTATCTGCAGAAGAACAGAATTATGAGGAATAACTGCTAGTGAAGATCTGTGATCATTATTATACTGACGTGAGCTACTCACCTTTGACAGTAACAATGAATGTCTGGTTTAAAACCACATCTCTGAATCCGATCTCAAGTTTATAGAGTCCAGAGTGTTCAGTCCTGGAGTTATTGATGGTCAGAGATCCAGTCGTCTTGTCCAGCTCCAGTCTGTTTTTGAATATCCCATCAGCAACATCATCATATATACAGATCTCTCCATTCTGTACAGTTAATTCAGCTATGACAGTCTGCTGTTCTTCATCTCCAAACAGCCACTGTATCTCATCTTCTGTCATTATTTCATTATTAGGCTTTAGAATGACAGGATCTCCCTCCATCACTGATCTTATCCTCGCTTCATGTGTGAGAACAGTGCATAGAAAGACAGAAATACACAGACGCCATTAGATCAAGTATGTGTGCATGTGAACAACACAGTTTGACATTTCTACACACTGATCATGCAGATGCTGTTTTATCAGTGATAATTTTTACATTGCTGTGTAAAAAGTGTGTTGAAAATGAAATTCTGTATAAAAACAACAACAAAAAATAAAAATAAATACATCTCTCACTGGCATCATCCTCTAGTGTTAGAGATTATCTGGTTTTGTGCACAGGGAATGCACCAGAAAACTAGCACAAGTCTTGCGTTCTGTCTCTTCAATAACACTTTGCATACATTTTTATGCTGTAATTTCATTTTTGGGGGCTTTTGTCACTTTGTCACAATATATAGTTATATGACAACATAGGCCATTTGAGTGATTTTTAAAACAAAGTTGATAACCAAAGACAGAAACACACTGAAGACTGAAATGATCTGAAGAAACTCTGAAGCTAGTCGAAACATTAAGCAGTTTGAGCTGAATTCACTTCAGAAAAAAATGAATGAATGAGGAAGAATGTGATCATTATTACACTGACTGGAGTGACTCACCTCTGACAGAAACATAGAATCTGTTGTAGAAGGTTTCTGTGCCTCTTCTGATCTTCAGAGTGTAGAGTCCAGCGTGTTTATTTGTGATGTCTGAGAAGATCAGAGAGCCAGGCTTCTCGTCTCTGAATATCCCATCAGAATCATACACTTTATTCTCTCCGGTCTCTCCTCTTTCAGCTATCGTATAAGTCCACAGAGCTTCATCTTCATGCTGCCACTGTAGCTCATCACCTGTCTGTATTTCAGTAGCAGGCTTTAGAGTGAAAGATTCTCCCTCCATCACTTCTATCTCCCTCTCTTCATGTGTGAGAACAGTGCATAGAAAGACAGAAATTCACAGATGCCATTAGATCAAGTATGTGTGCATGTGAACAACAGAGTTTGACATTTCTACACACAGATCATGCAGATGCTGTTTTATCAGTGATGATCTTTACACTGCTGTGTGAAATGTGTGCTGAAAATGAAATTCTGTATAAAAACAAAAACAAAAAAAAATTAAATACATCTCTCACTGACATTATCCTCTAGTGTTAAAATCGGCACGTATTGCGCATGTCTACATACCGAACACATACTACGCATGTGCATGACGTCACAGTTTTCAAAGATTTCCGTATTGGGTGTTTACACGGAAACGATAACGGTGGTGTTTTCAAAAACTTGCACTTTGAAACCCGTTTTCAAAAATATGCTTTTTCAGTCCCCAAAATGCTGTTGTCGTGTAAACAGACAGTCAAAACACATAAAAAGTTTACAGTTTTTGGCTGAAAACGTTGTAGTGTAAATGGCCCCTAAACATAAAGCAGTGTGAGCTGAATTCACTTCAGAAAAAAATGAATGAATGAGGAAGAATGTGATCATTATTACACTGACTGGAGTGACTCACCTCTGACAGAAACAGAGAATCTTTTGTATAAGTTTTTTCTGCCTCTTCTGATCTTCAGAATATAAAGTCCAGTGTGTTCAGTTGTGGTGTTTCTGATGGTCAGTGATCCAGTCTCCTTGTCCAGCTTCAGTCTGTCTCTGAATATCCCATCAGGACCAACATATGTACTCATCTCTCCGTTCTCTCCTTTGATTTCAGCTATGAGAGTGTCTTCATCTTCAAACAGCCACTGTATCTCATCACCGGTCTGTATTTCAGTAGCAGGCTTTAGAATGACAGGATCTCCCTCAGTCACTGTTATATTCCTCTCTTCATGTGTGAGAACAGTGCATAGAAACATAGAAATACACAATGTCATTAAATAAAGTATGTGTGCATGTGAACATCAGAGTTTGAAATTTCTACACACGGATCATGCAGATGCTGTTTTATTAGTGATGATCTTTACACTGCTGTGTGAAAATGAAAAATGAAATTCTGTATAAAAACAATTAAATACAGCTCTCACTGACATTGTCCTCTAGTGTTAGAGATGAAATGGTTTTGTGCACATGAAATGCACCAGAAATCTAGCACAGGTCTTGAGTTCTGTCTATTCACTAAACACTGTGTAGAAAAGTGTATGCTGTAATATTATTTTGGGGGGGCTTTGTCCCTTTGTCACAGTAGATGGTTATATGACAATATAGGCCAATGGAGTGATTTTTTAAAATAAAGTTTATGACAACCAAAGACAGAAGCACACTGAAGACCAAAATGATCTGAAAAACTCGCAAAAGAGTCTAAAGAATAAGCAGTTTGTGCTGAATTCACTTCAGAAAAAATGAATGAATGTAGAAGAATGTGATCATTATTACACTGACTGGAGTGACTCACCGTTGACAGAAACAGAGAATCTTTTGTATAAGGTTTTTCTGCCTCTTCTGATCTTCAGAGTATAAAGTCCATTGTGTTTAATTGCGATAACCTTGATGGTCAGTGATCCAGTCGTCTTGTCCAGCTTCAGTCTGTTCATGAATATCATATCAGGACCCCTATATGTAGTCATCTCTCTGGTCTCTCCTTTGATTTCAGCTATGAGAGTGTTTTCATCTTCAAACAGCCACTGTATCTCATCACCTGTCTGTATTTCAGGATCAGGGTTTAGAGTGACAGGATCTCCCTCCAGCGCTGACACTGACAGCAGCACATAGAAACAGACGTTTAAGTGTTTGTTTGCTGAAAATCTTTGCTGTAATTCTCAAATATTATCTTCCATACTCAAACACATGTGCAAGTTCACCTATGAAACATTCAGTGAACTAATTCCCTCTGTCATGTTTGTAGCTCAAATAGCTTTTGTGTTGCATTTCAGAGCTTTAGTGAATGGGAAGATGATCAGTGAATAATTACTCATATTTCTGTCTGTTCACACACAAACCATCACATGACCTGAGAAGACTTTGAATATAATAAACGAGTCACATGATACTTTTATGACGGATGATACTTAATAATACTTAAAATTGTTTGACAGACATGATCACTAAAAACGACTGTTGTACAGAAAAGAGCTTCATAATGTTTATCCAAATATCTTATTTTGTATTTGATAGAAAAAATTAAGTCATACACGCTTGCAATGACATAAAGGTGGATAAATGATGAATTTATATTTTAGAATAAACTATTCCTTCATAGGAATAAATAAACAACACTAACTGACCAGACACATTATAAACATGAGTGTAATTTACAGTAGATGTACAAACGCTCTCTCCATTTCATTTTCTTGGTTTTCAGTTCAGAGTTTCTCTATTAATAGTCTGTGATGTTTAAATGAAGAAGGTGAATGAAGCCACACACAATGATACAAACACAAACACATGTGTGAGGTGCTATTAAAGACTCAGGCAGTCCAGATAAAACTCAAAATGAAAGACCAAATGTCGGACAGCAGGAGTATGATTTTAGGCTAGTTTCTGCTAAATATCTCAACCTTCAATAGAACAACAAAACTACATAAACACAAACAGACAATCAAAAACATCTTAAATTCAGCATTATAAACAGACAGAGATTCAGTAATTAGTATATTAATGTAATTCAGCTCAATACTGGACAATCACAAACTTCATTAATTATTGCATCAATTGCAAGCAGAACTTGTGGTTAAAGTCGAAATGTTGACTGAAAAATTATCCTACACATTTAAACTCTACTGAACCACAATAAAGCTCAATGTTTTTTCTCTTGCTGTATCAATTGTAATACTTACACGTTTTGTTTGGTAGATTAGAGGTCCTGGGGCGACGGTAGTACATCACACCAGCAGCAGCTACAGCTGCAGCCACCAGCAGAACAACAACAACAATCCCTGCTACAGCACCTGGAGACACACCTGAATCTGGAACAGCTAAAGAGAGACAGTCATTAGTGTGAATGTGTGTCTGATCTATAACAAACACTAGAAATATCAGCACTATATAATCTAAATGTGTATTTGGTAAGTAGATCTTAATGTTAATGATTGTGATAATTACATATAAACATTAAAACAATGATGATTAAACTAATCAAATGTTAACATTGTCATTATAAGCCTGACAATAATCAGTATTTATTACAGATATATTCACAGGTGTCAGTAATGTAAGAGAGAAACAGTTTTAGCTAATACAATTATTCACAGACAGCTGATAAACAATCATTATAATCAGCCTTGAGTTACTCACCACTGACAGTTACAGTGAATCTATTGTATGAAGTCTGTTTGTTGCTGCTGATCTTCGCTGTATAAAGTCCAGAGTCTGTGGTTCTGGTGTTTGTGATGATCAGAGATCCAGTCTTATCATTCAGCTGCAGTCTGTCTCTGAATCTCTCATCAGTTTCATAATATAATGATGAGCTCTTGGTCTCTTTATCATGTTTAGCTATGAGTTTTCCTTCATCTCCAAACCTCCACACTATCAGCTCATTTCCTTGTAGTTGAGGAACATGAAGAGTGACAGGATCTCCCTCCATCACTGACTCGTTCTTTATTACAAATGTAATAGCATCAACAAATGGAGACTCTACAAGAAACAGATTCAAAGATAGAGGTTAAACATTGAACTATGTTACCAGCACTAAATGTTTCACTGTTTCTTAAGTCTGTTTATGGTTACAGCATATGGCACATGCAGATTAATAAAAAAATGTTTGATATGTACAACAATATCCAGTTACAATTCAATTACTTTGAATCATATTTCTTATAACAGCACAGGAACACTTCAATGATTGTATTACACAATTGATAGAATTAAATTTCATAGATCTACAATGCAGTTTATCCTGCATTGGTCTGTTTTGGAACTACTGTAAATGGTGGAAAGAAACTGAACAAAATATCTGGCCATATCGTGTATGAAATGTAAGTAATTTGATATGCATTTCTTCCTAGTAAAAGCATTATTGCCCTTGACATCATGCTGTTGTTCTGAATATCAGTCATGTGATCACCTGCGGACCAATCAAAGCTGTGATGATATTCTGAACAACAGCATGGATATTGGCAATTGCGAATATAAAACTAATAACTGAAACAAGAAAAAAAAGAAAAAATAAATAAATAAATAATAATAATATATATATATAATATATATATATATATGCTCACCATTGACAGTAACATTGAATATCTTATATGTGGTCCCAGTGTTGTGGTCAATCTGTAGTTTATAAAGTCCAGAGTGTTTGGTTCTCATGTTCTTGATGGTGAGAGATCCAGTCTGATGATCCAACTGCAGTCTGTCTATGAATATAGCTTCACCTTCATATGTATTTGAGCTCTCAGTTCCCCTGGTTTGAGCAATGAGTGTATCTCCAAACCTCCACTGTATCTTAATAAATCCCTTAATTTTAGTAGGATCAGGGGTTTCTCACTATCTTAGAGGGAGGTAGTGACTGAAGAAAAGTAGTCGTCCAAACACACCTGGAGAATAAACAAACAGTTTATCAAAGATTAAACTCATTAAAGCATGAAAAATTTGAGAAATGTTCAGCTTTATGCAAACAAAGTGGTAAACAAAAAGGAAAGTAAACCTGGCTGCAATCTGCAGAATGGGGAAGGGTCACAAAAGTAGCCCCACCCCATAACTACCTTCACTGGCTTGGTCCTCTTTCATTGGCATACCCAAATGAAGTCTAACGCAAAGTTAAAATAGTTTTTCTTTTTCTATTAGTTTTTACCTCTGTAGTCAATTTCTTAGTCCAATTCAGTTTTGTTTTTATTTTGTTGGTAAATTTTTTTTGTTTGCTTAAGTTTTTAGTTTGTGTGCGAGTGTGTCCCAGCAATGAGGGTGCACCCCAATGCAACCCCACTTGCTGGGACACACTCACACACACTCTCTCCTATGGCCAATTTATTGTATCCAATCCACCTAACCTGGATGTCTTTGGACTGTGAAGGAAACCAGAGCATTAGGGCTGCACGATATTGGAAAAAACTCACATTGTGATATTTT